GCGTTGAGAGAGAGACAGAGAGAGAGAGAGAGAGAGAGAGAGAGAGAGAGAGAGAAGAATATATACTATTTATGGAATAATTTACTCCACAAAACTCATTTTAGAAAAAAAAATTTGTATTTACTATTTTTTCCATTCAAAAAATAATCCAATAAAAATGAAAATAATATCACAAAAATTATTTATATGACATTAATTATATTTTCTGATAATAAAAATCAATTCATACATTTCAGATTAGTCTTATTGTCGGTTCAATTTTAGCCATATTATTCGGCCATAATGATTTTAACATTATTCTATGTAATTTAAATAAAAATATTCACACGTTTCTATTCGTCTTAGTTTAATCATCGATTGTCGTATTTTCTTTATGTTAGATTATCCGAGATCATACTTCGTCAATCATTTTTTTTTTAAATGATTAACAAATTTTGGATAACTTAGTTTTTTGTATATTGTTACTTTGTAAAGGTATAACAAAATGTCAAGTAACATAAGTATATTGAATTGATACGTGTAAATATAAATGATGTAAACTGAACTATGACTTGGGAATGACGAAAGAACGAAGACGGAAGACGGAGACTGAACTGATAATCAGACTTAACTTAAATATATAAATCAACCTTAAAGCTATGCGCTATATAATAACCGTGAGAAAAAACCATTGACGTTGCATTTTGTATTCTATCTCATTTATTGGACGTCTGTCTTGACTCCTGTCCTCATACTCACTCCATCAACCGCAAACTAACCTCGAAATAACAATTGCTAACGTTAAAAAGAAAAAAGGGAAAAAGGAAATAGAAACAGTAGAAAAAAGAAAAGAAAACCTTCCGTAGTTGTCGGTTAGTAATTACGACGTTGTTTGTCGTTTACATTTGTGAGTACATCGTACCGCTAAAGTTGGCTCGAGAATTTCGAAAGGTCACTTAGTCGGACGTAAATTTGAGGTGAATGCACCATGACTATGAAATGACATCTTTATAGAGCAACGCCTCTGCCACGGAAATCTAATTATCAAATATTTCTAGAGTTACATTGTAAATTTGATATACGCATATATAGAGCGTTCCAACGAAAAGTGTCCATCCATGATTATTATGAAATCCAATAATCTTTTTCAAAAAACACATTTTATTGGGTACTGACTCAAAATTAAAAAAAAATAGTACCGTTTTAAAAAGAATTGAAAGATCTTTCAAATAATGTGTAACTTTACCTCTGTTGCCATTTAAGATTTTTAAAGAGGTTATCACCAATTTTCGAAATTTAGATCAAAGTAGATGAATATATATACCCTTCGAAAACGAAATTGACCTGTCCTAGAACTTTTCGAAGAAAATCATTAGATTTCATAGTAATCTTGTTGGACATTTTTCGTTTGGACACTCTGTATATATCTATAAACATTTTTATGCATATACGTATGTAAAAATATATAAATCTCGAAAGATATGATTAAAAACCAGGAAGTTCTAGAAGAAGAATATAATAGCTAAGAAGCAATACTCTTGCGCGATAACGTATATTTAACAAAGTACAAAAAATCTAATCTCACTAAATCTCGATGACATTCAACTTTATTAATCTCGTTATTGTTGTATACTGATATCTAATGGCGTAACACAAATATGTATACAAGTATCTACACTTCATAATAAGACTTGTTATTTCTAAGAAAACAGCTACATATAGTTACGTAAACTATTTATAATTTCAAAATACAGAAATAATATTTTTAAGTGCAATATTTTATTCCAATCTATATCTTTTTTTCTCTCTTATTAATTATTTTTTTACGATAAAATTAATAAGATAAGTAATGAAAATTTGTATCTACAATCGTTATCAAGATAATTTAAGATGCTTTCCTTTTTCATTATCTAATATCGAAATTTAATTTAAACGCAATAACAATATCAACGACATTATTTCAAATATCTAAGGTATTAATTATGGTTAAATAAGGGATAGTAATTTCTGAAGAAACAAATAAATTTCTCTTATAAATCTTCTTCAAACTCGATGATCAACGATCGAATCAGGGTTAATACGTAACATCTCTTTTTGCTAATCAATCGAATGACTAATAAAAAACTAAACAATCATGTGAAGAATTGCATAGTGCTGAGAGAAAATTAAAATTCCAATCTATTTATAGACACTTCCGCATTCATGAGCTGTAGACACAAAGTTTTCACGGAAAACAAATATGTCTACTTATGTATACAGGTTAATTATAAATTAAGGTCAGTTAAATATCGCATTTATTAGAAAAAATAAAAAAATATATATATCATGATATCGTGTATTAAATATTTTAAGAGTGCAAAATAAAGACATAATTCCTATTAAACCGGAAGTTTAATGATTTTTGGGTTATCTTATGGAACAACCTCCATATCTTTTTAATTAATTAGATATTTCAATTAATTATCTTTAAAAATTATTAAACAAGTGCAGACCTAAAATTAATAATTAACAAGATATTAGCATGTATAAGTTATATGATCAAAAGTACCTATATTCAAATACAATCTTAAGAGACCATGAAAAAATGAAGAACACATAAAACAGTCTTACAATAAGTTCATTTATTACCTTACTAAGGTTGTGAATTAAAAAATTTAAAATTATAATAACAAGGCTATAATAACAAAAAAGAAATAATAGTTTGCTTAAATCAATAAATGTTCTAAGTGTCCACTATTTTTTTGTATGCTCAGTCGACATCTGGTAATCATATTTCTTCGTATATTTCGTAACATTTCAAATGTTATTAACGATATTTATAATTTTTGCTTGTAGTTCTAAATTTCAATTTTACTAAAATTAATATTACTGTTTCCGTCTGCATAGCATACTTCATGCATTAAAATCTCGTTAATTATTAACTTTAGACTTATATTTGTTTAATAATTTTTTAAAGATAATCATTTAAAATATTTAATTACTAGAAAAAAAAATACAGATGATATTCCATAAGACAAAATAAAAATCATTTGAATTTTAATTTAATTTGTATTATTGTTTTTATTTCGTACTCTTAAAATATTTAACATATGAGAGCATGAATTTTTTTTAATATATTTTTTTAATATATTGCTTTTAAGAAAGAAAATATTTAAACGGCTCTTAATTTATAATTACAAACATAGATCATATGTCGTATAATTGCATGAGTACATATTTTTTGCATTAGAATATCATCGTCTCAGGTAACGTTAAATTCTCGTGAGATTTCAAAAATATACATTTTTCCGATTTATTTTTACCGATACGATCTAGGTTCCATCCGTATTGATAAAATGTTGATAACATATCCGCAATCAATTTCTCGATATTATCAATATAACATTACACTACACATGAAAAAAGACCACTGACTGATATATGTCATCTGCGATTGTTATGATATATCGAATATATACAACGTATATAAACGTACGAACGTTTGTCAATAGGTCGATTACGTAGTTTCTTAGAGTGATTTAGTAATGGATAACTTATCTTTATATTCATGTAAAAATATATATCTACGTATAAAAATAAAAAAATCAACATCATCAAATCCTATTATATCTTGAAATTGTGTTATTTCATTATCGTAAAATTATATATATTTTGGAAATTAGAGTTAAACTAAACAATTTAAGTACTTAAAATAGTAAGCATCGTCGTACGATATTTACAAAATAATCGTCTCGAGTAATCGTCTCGTATTAATATTATTCATTCTAAGAGAGATTTGAATACTCGTACACATGACACAATATCGAAAGGCCGCTAGGGTCTATCGCGATTTAGAGCTCTTTTAAACTGACTCACATAATGAGACTCTCCATTTGCGTTTCTATTCTCTCTTCTTCCTTTCTTTAGACCAATAAACGAAATTATAAATTTACATAGATACATACATGTTCGTGTGATCTAGTAAAGGTCATTAAAAGTTCTGTTCGAATTATAATCGAACGTCGTATTTATCTTTTACGATCCACATTTCATGACATTCTCTTTTAGAATTGAACCGTGTAATAAAACAATTCACGATATAAATAGACACGTCCCCTTTTTTCTCATAATCACACTTGTTCGTTCGCGTGCTTATTAAATATCACTTTCAAATAAAAATCTATTATTATGTCGTATTTACACGTTCAACATGTTAGTCGTATAAATGTTGACGATATGATTTTTAGATCTATTATTTGACCTAACATACTAAATTATTATGTACATTAAAGATCATTATAATAAGAAGGTTATATATCGATATAAAAGGAAATAGAGAGATCGTACGGTACGTAAGAAAACTTTCATATCGTTAATGAGATTTCATATGTTCTTTTATTAAATATGAGATCCAAGGATTGCAAGTAATTTAACAAATTTCTCATTGTTTATGAGATGATAATTATTTTTTAATAATTAGATATTTTACTAATCTCTTATGATAAATATAAAATAAAAAAAGTATACAAATCATTTTTATTTCTGAAGTTTGATTATTATGTTAATCTTCATCTGAACAAAATGATACTTTGATTTTGTACATGTGTACAATCAGAAATAAAGTTTAATTCATACATTCGATAACTATTGCCAATTGTGACTAATTAATGATATGTTAGGTTTTCAGTTAAGTTATAATATATTTATCAATTGTAAACTTCGCTATTAGCTTGACACCGTTGGGCTCATGAACAAATAGTTGAAAGGTAATGATTACAATCGTAATTTCTGTGACCACGTGTACGGTACACGTGCTAAGTATGCAAACATAAACGACAGCAGTAATAAATCGCACGATCTGAGACATGAACACATATCTCTATCACGTGATTCAGAGGAAAAAATCAATGAAAACATGACTTAGATATAATTTGTTTGATAACGTCGCAAAACATGTGATAGAAAAAGACGATCGAATAGCGTCTGATCTTATTTTTTATAATTTTCATGGTAAAATAGACGTTAATAAAGATCGAACTTACCTGATAGCTCCTTTATTTTTATGTCTTCTCCGAATTTAACAGGTCGTTGATTTATCGAAGAAATATTTATCAATAACAAGAGCCGTGTATATACGTCATAGCACAGTTTAAGGAAAAAATGTATTGTACGAGCATCAAATTGTTCTTATTTTGTTGAATAGTCGAAAAAATTGCACTACAGCCATTGAAGCCAATAAAGAAATGACAATTTCATTGTTTGTCAATTAACATGACTAAGCATATGTATGTAATTATATAGAAAAAATGATAATTTGTTTATCCACTTTCGAATTATTCGAAATTCTAACGAATGCTAACCTTTCATTTTATTTTTAAGATCTTTTATAGGATCGTAACTTAAAAACGAAAGTATATCAAATACTTGTAACATTTAACTATGTTCACTACTTATCGATCGATTATCACCAATATCGATTATTAACATATGTACAACAAAATTGCCACGTTGACACTTCTCGAATCCGTCGTTTTTTATTATTTCGCTCTATATTCTAAAAACGAAGAGTTCCGAGTTCTTGGAAAAAAGTTTCGCCATGTATAAAATACCTTATGATTTTTTTGGCGTTCGACGATATAATCGCGAACGCCATCATTGAAAAGGATAAGTTTTTTTCGATCGTCGTGTTAGACGATACTCTTACACCGACACGTTCCAATTCGTACGTTTGTACGGGCTTAACTGACGGTCGGAGCTTTATAATTTTCAGGTCGCGTATGCAACTATGGAACGTACGTATCGTCAAGGACGCGGTTACTATGATACGATTGCAATTTCGTACGATTCGTCCTGGGAGCGAGAGTGCAAAATTTTGTTCAAATCGATTAAAGTACAATACAATCTAACATTGTAAATCGTAATTTCGTCTTTTCAATTCTAATAGTTCAAATTATGAGACAATATTATTTTGTAGATGAAATTTATACTGCGATCAAATTGAAGTCACATAATAAATTGAAGTCAATATAACTGTTCCTAGTATCTTCTAAAGAATTATCATATCTGCGATAGTCAATATTGTAAAAACAAAAAAAAAGATACAAATGAAGTACACATAAAATCACTTGTAAAAAATAAAATATAAACATTAATACAGAAACATTATCTTCTATAGTAGAGACATTTTACTTTGCGGACAGAATAAGATAATTTTACGATTACATTTCATCGATTCGTTCCCACTCGACCTATATACGAGAGACGTCTCTTTAAACGCACGAGACGATCGGTCACATTCTGGCGCGAAAAAATTCAAATCATTCGTTCGGGAGAGCCGAACGCATTTGAAGATCGCCGACGTCGCGCCGTACGGTCTATCGATTCTTGCCGAAGATTTCCGAGGTTAACCGAGCAGGATCAAAGTGACGTACGTCAGTCAGTGTGGGCCGATCCGCGATACGTCTGTCGATTTCACGGAGTTTCTTGGACGTGTTTCTCGCGGAAGGAGGCTACCGTTTCTCGGTAAAGAATCATGAATTCGATCGTTTAAGCTCGCGCCGATGCGCTACAGAAAATCCAAGAGACGACTAGACATTTTTTGCGCTCGCATGCCTTGCAAAAAGGAAAAACCATTGGTTCCTATACATTCGTGTTCGCGCCCCGATCAATCTTCAAGATTACAATTCCCCCTGCGCGCTTATCTTCTTAATTGGGTCTTATTGTTGGTAGGATAAACGCTAAATTGATAGCGTACAGCCTGTTCTTTTGTCTCAAGGTAATACTCGAGTCATCGCGACCGACATCGATCGTCGTGACCTAACCTTGAAAAAACGTAACGTCTCTTATAAATTCTCTAAGTATTTCCTTGGATATTACACTATGTTTTTCTTCCAGATACAGCTCGCTTACTTGACTACGGGTGTAAAATTATGGCAAATACTCAAACTCCGGGTACGTAATTTCGATACCATACACGTAGTTCTCGTAGTCATACTTTTCTCGAATTTTCGTCTTTCAATGATGACAATAGTAAATCAATCACTTTTCAAATATCACCAATTGTTTCGTCGATATGCTCGATTCTCTATACAAGGGGGCGCTGAATTTATCAGTATAAAACAAAGGTCAATGGTAATAATATATATTTTTCTATGAATATAATTGAAATACTTTTTTTATAGGCATGGATCCCTGGATGATTCAACCAAGAGAACGGACTAAATATCAAGAACAATTTGATTCTTTAAGGCCAATCAATGGGATTATTACTGGAGAACAAGCTAAAGGTCTTCTCTTAAGATCGCAACTTCCTTCTGTTGTTCTTGGACAAATATGGTATAAGATCTCTTTAACATATGTATGGTACTTGTTATATAAAGAAGTCACTTTCTTCATCATAAATTTTTTATAGGGCACTATCGGATACAGATGCGGATGGAAAGATGGACATAAATGAGTTTTGCATTGCTTGTAAATTGATCACTCTAAAACTACGAGGATTTGAAATTCCTAAAACATTACCTCCATCTCTTATTCAAAGTTTAAAATCTGTTTCCACCAGTAAGTAATGTTTCATTAATTAGCACAAATAAACTATTAACTTTGTTGATAAAGGTTATTATTTCTCAGCAGGCAATAATGCAATTGGCTTAACTAATGGTGCAGCTACTATACCAACCCAAAATAACATTGCTTCCCTAGTTAATTTGGGTGGCACTGGAGGTGTATCAGTGCAACCATTAGTCGGCATGGTACCAGTTAGTACTCCGGCACGTCCTTTGATAGGTCCGCCATCCAATGGAACAACAGGACGTCCAGCTACACCTGCATCACCCATGACTTTACCAGGTAACTTTGTTCATCTACTTAATTTGGAAATCTTGGGTATGTCCTCATGTAGCTGCACATCATAATGTACAATAATAATTCATAAAAAACTCGCTCAAACATATACACTATCATTATTTGATCTACTTTGATCAGGCATACTAGCATATTCAAGCTATGCCATTGAGCATAAACATTGTGGAATGATTAGATAATCCACTATTTATGCTGCAGATCATTCTCATTGCAGAATTATAACGATTAGTATTGTCACTAATTCTTTAACTTAAATATAAAACAAAATATACATGGATTAATCAGTAGCATATTTCTACATATAACTTATGCATCATACTATACAGCATCGCGACAAAATAGACAGAATGTGGCCACCAATATACATGCCACAACTCACACACCATCAAAGCCACCTGCTCGACCTGCACCACCCTCTGTGGGTATGTTAAAAGTACTGAATGTTCGTTCGTATATGTATATAAATCTGTGTGATTAATTGTATTCTATATATGGAAAGCTATTTCATATTTGCTTTTTGAAATTTTTTCCGTTTATTTATTCTTAAAAAATTCTTTTTATTCTTTTCTGAATGGCTTTAGTGACAGCATGAAAGCAATTTGAAAGATAAATCAGAATGTGAATGTAGTGTTTTTTAAATCTAACAAATAAGAACAAACCTTCTAACTGTTTTTCAATATTTATTTCAATTTAACATTTTTATTACATTATAATGATATTTAGCATTATTTTTACCCAATACAATCCATATATGTTACAGCAGAAAACATGTGTATGCTGAATTTCCTATATTAATATTATTAAATGTAATTACTATGGTATTATCTTACTTCTTAAACACAAAAATTATATATCTTTATAAATATTTGTGTGTATAATTTATAGATAACTTATTTACTTTATATTTTTTTTTTACTATATCTAAGCTTTAAGAAGTTTACAGAATTTCCATAAACTATATTTGGTGCTCTATGGCTTCTTCTTATTATTCATAAATAATCTTTTCTTTGTAAATTACATCCTTTTTTAAAGAAACGATTATTTCTCTATAAAACCTTTAACAACACCTCTATTTGTGCTGCAAAAAAAGGAATCGTGCCTTCCACAAGTACACCAAGCACTGGTCCACCTCAAAGACCAACACCACCTTCTAGTATTGGTATGTGTAAAAATGAAGAAATAATTTCAAGATTTTAATGATTACGGATACAATGTACATTGTACATACTAAATATACAGCAATATATTTATTTGAAATTTTTTCTTCAAATAAAAAATATGAAGCATTAGATATCTGAATTTCAAAAAAATGATTCCTTTTTATTAAGTCAATGTTCTTAAATGTTTTGTGTTTGCTAAAGAAAGAGAATCTTATGACACTATTTTCTTTACATATATTTTGATATTATCTTTTTATATAAAATTATATAAATGTATTTCAGGAACTAATTTTGCAACTGCCACAAATGTTCCACCACCACCAAAGCCAGCACCACCTTCATTTCCAAATAGTCCAGTTGCTGCAATGTCTCCAGCCAAAGTTTTACCGACTGCTGCTACAGCTATTATACCTCCTATTCAATCAATTCAACAAATACAGCCAATGACGACTTCTGCTATAGGTAAACAATATTACTTAATACATATAAAATATACTTTTTTAAATAATATAAGAAATGCAATGTACTGTGTACTTATTAACTGTTATATTTATTTAATTTTTTTATTACAGATTTACTCGATCTTGATTTATCAGAAGGTATACTAAGAAAAAAAAGATTGTACAGGAAGTACTATATTACAATTAGCAAAGTGCTTTCTGCTAATATCAAAAATAGTTTAGACTATTGCCTCTAAATATTATTATGTATTTGTTCCTTTTATGCTCATTATCATTACATCGGTACCAGCAATATTTAATGCTGTTGTTCTATTTATTACAGAATACTTTATAATAATGTGATATGAGCCATTAATTTTTAAACTCTTCTTGGAAAATATTTCAATAAGTAAATTTGTTAAATAATTGCTACAACACTACTCCACAAATTTAAATTAAATATAATAATTTTTTTTTCCTATATTACAACTTTATGCAGTTTTATCAAAAAATTTGTATAGAACAAAAATTCGTATATATTGGTCTTTCAATTATTAAAAATTTTCTGTGAAATTGATCTAATCATCTTCATAATAAGATAGTTATTTGTCGGTTGTCTGTAATTTTTCATGTTAGTGTGATAACATGTGTGTGCGTGTGTGTGTATATCTTTAAGCTACGTTTGCTTTGATACAGAAACAAATTGTACTTGCTTTTTACAAATAGTTTTTCGTAACAGGTGCCCCAGCAGTAGCTCCAATTGCACCTTTAAATACGAATCCAACACCAATTGCTGCCTTTGGTATGGGACAAACAATGCCAATGCAACCACTCTGTACTGGCATGGTTGCTCCAATGACAGGAGGGAGTACTATTATACCATCCATTGCTCCAATGGCTACTGGTATTTTATATATAATATTTCATAAAAATTGATTTGCATGTTAATAAAATTAATAAACAAGATAGCATTTAACAATGGACAAGATAGTATTTATAAATGGACAAGTGAAAAATCATAAATAACATATACTTTATTATTACAGGTACAGGTGTTGTATCGACATCTCCAGTTGTAGGTCTGCCATTAGTATCTTCAACAACAAGTGGTGTGCCACCAGTAAATGGTACAACTGTTCATACACCAGTATCCACTTGTACACCATTAAGTACAACTGCTAGACCACCAAGTATAGATAGAGTGGGTTCTGTAGATTCTCAGCATAGTCAACATTCAGTTGGATCTCCACAATCTATAGAATGGGCTGTACCTCATCAAACAAAATTAAAA